TTACAGGCCAGCCTTTCTCAACAAGGCTGACAAATGTTCGGACAGTGCCATGGGTCAACCACCAGCCCCAAGGCAAGCACAGAAGTTTGCCTCTATCCAGGCCTGCTTCATCTCCCACCATTTGCCATGCTGCTGCAGCTGCACCCTGATGTGATGGTAGGACTCTGATGAGAAGGGGGCACTGAAGACCCTGATGCAAAGGGGGGCTCTGATATCAAAGGAAGGGGCTCTAATGTCAAGGGGGATCTCTTATGTGAAAGGGGGGCTCTTGATTTGAAAGGGGTAATCTCATGTGAAAGGAGATCATTTTAGACTGGGGTACTCTACTTTGCATACGTTTGAAGTGTGCCATGACTAGAAAAAAGGACAAACACTGCTCCAGATCATTCATATTAACAAAAACTTTTTAATAAGATTATATGTGCATTTAACTTATTTTAGCCATTTTCTTTGCCTGTAAAATTCTCCCTTGTGTATGCATACAAAAGCCCTGAAAAAGATGCTGGGTTCCACCATCTTGGATGTGATGTTCGTAGGCCAGCAGACTCGGGACTGTCACTCAAGTTACACTTTACAGTATCTTTCTTCAATATTTTCTTCTCCTTCCCAGGCTGTTACATAAAAGGTCATGTAGGAAATAGAGGGGAAAGCGGAGGAGCTGGCCAGCAAGGAAACTTTCAGAATTGGAGAGGGCTATGATGTGCGAGGTGGGAGGGGAGGGCCTGCAGTTGTACAATTTTGTAGGAAATTCAAGGGCACATAGCAAGTGTATTCAAAAAATATAATTTGTGGAAATGAAAACCCCACATGTAACCATTTAAAATACTTTTCTGTGATTTTGTTTTCTGGCTGCAGTTTTTTAAGGCCCAATTCCTGGCACAGCCCTCTGTATGGTTTTGTTTTTTTGTTTTGTTTGATTTTTTTTTCCCCCCCCTTAAGAGTTGCGCTAATCCTCTCACTTTTTTTGTTTGTTTTTAGGCTCCAATGAGCTATACTGGTATGTACAGCAGGAGTGACACTTCCAGCTTCCCACTGAATCGGAATCATGTCTTTGATGGGCACCAATTTCATTGTTGTTCCTTTGCCCCCCTACCTCTTCTTTGCCATTCGCAAAGCACAGCAAATGATGGATGATATTTGTGTTTTGTGCATGGCACAGCAGTGAGGAGACAGGGGAACAGCACTGGAACTTCTGTTGATCAGACACCGCTCCAATGCACAACGCCTAAAGTAATTAAAAAAATTTGCATGTTAATGGTATTTTTATCAATTAAAAGATAAAAACCTAAAACAAGCTGTGCCTGGAGTTTTAAAGCGGATCTTTACCCATATATTTAAAATAACAACAAAGACACCTTTAGAAATGTTGAGTAATGACAATCTACAAACACATACTTCTAGATAAGTGCAGGCTTTGTATTCTTTGCATACATTATTTCTCTTTTCTTTCCCAGTCTTCTGACAGTGGCCATGTTTACTAAGGGCAGATTACTAGTTCTATTACTTCCCGAAAATCTGGCACATGTGACTAGGACATGTGACCTTGCACATCATCTCAGGGGAGGAAAATGCCTTTCACTGAGATGATGACAAGGCAATTCCAGTGTGCATTGCTTTGGCAAACTGAAGTCATTTTGCCCTTTCAAAGCGAGAAATGAATGTTCTGCAAGTGTAAGTATTTTAAAATCACAGCATTTTACACCTGACATGTCTGTTATTCTCACTCCTCATTCATAAAAGGATGCATTAGTAGAATTTGATTTTTGCATGTAAAGGTCTGCTTTAAGTTGGTACAGGGTCTCTTTAAAGTAAACCTATACGCGAGTATAGGAAAATAAATCACCAGCACTCAGTAGAATAATCCAGCATGTCCATTTATTGGACATAGACGTCACACAATCACAAGAGCCAACGTTTCGAGACCACGCAGGGTCTCCCATCAGGTCACTCTTTATGCCCTGATGAAGAGACCCTGCGTGGCCTCGAAACGTTGGCTCTTGTGATTGTGTGACGTCTATGTCCAATAAATGGACATGTTGGAGTGCTAGTGATTCCTTTTCCTATATTGTGTCTGCACGGTGCCATCCGTGTTCATCACTACAAGCACCATTGTCTTCATAGGCCTTGATTGCTGCAAGGTGTGCGGAGGATTTCCTCTTCTATCCAATTTGTATACGTGAGTAGACATTTTGGCTTTCAGTTGTAAAGATCATATGCTTGAGTATCTTCAAGATTGTGTTTCCTATACAGGGTTGTATTTTTTTTCATTTTCCAATATTTTCTGAAATATTGTTTTGAGAAATTGGCTATGGCAGCATAGCCTCTCTAAAGTATAGAAGATGGTCACCAGCACTCAACGAATAGCATAAAGTTTGTTTGCTTTTTATTGAAGTAATGTCACAAGTTTCATTCAGCCAACGTTTCGGGACTACGCAGGGTCCCTTCTTAAGGGCGACCTAGTGACAAGTGTACAGTTACCCTATATATATATATTTTTAGGGTAATTGTAAGTTTTATAAATATGCGGTAACTGTGCTGTTGTCACTAGGTCGCCTTGAAGAAGGGACCCTGCATGGTCCCGAAACGTTGGCTGAATGACACTTGTGACATTACTTCAATAAAAAGCAAACAACTTTATGCTTTTCGTTGAGTGCTGGTGATCTTCACCTTTTATGATCTTGGGAAGCACTGCGTCATCTGTGTTATCACGCACCACGTCTATCAAACAAGGTGTAATCACTGTATGGAGTGCAGGTGACACATCACAATACTTTCTGAACTATAGAACACAAACAAAAGTTGATGGCTTAACACAACCCATAAAAGAACCATTCAACATGCCTGCTCCGTTGGCTGTTTTAGGTCAAGTGAGCCCAATCTGCATCCTTGCTGAAAAACGGCAGAAATAAGTTATCTCTGGTCAAGAAGTTGCATTATTTCCATCAAGTGATAGCTGGATGGATAAATAGACAAGAGGAACAGCAAAGAGTCAGTAGACATTTTGTTATTGGATTGAGGATGGACTGGACTAGTATCGGCAAATCTAAAACAGTTAATAAGTAGCACTACTAACTAGGGAGCACAAACTGCATTTGTAACAGTATGTATGGTTTCCCAATGTATATACAATATTATTCTAAACTGTATGCATAAACAATCTTTCAAAAAATATATACATATATTATTTCTAGTTATTGTCAAGTCCTGAAAGGTATACATTCTAGAATGTCAGCCTATTTGCTTTTGACACAAGCAAAAGTGTAAAAGTATTGTTTTGAACAGCTAACCAGTCAGCTCACATGAATCATGCATAAAGAGAGGCCTAACAGAGGCTCAACCTTTTCAATTGACATGAGTTACATTAGAAACATACCTCATCATTCGCAACAAGGCAAAGAAGAAAGAATAGAGATGTGGATTTTTCCCCTAAACCTACAATAGTCTGTTATATTGTGGGACTTCATATGTAAAAACAAATGTATGTACAATGAGTGGCCAGATTATTATGACCACCCCATCAGTACTTCGTTGGGCCATGAGATGACTTAGTTGGGCCGCCTCGTGACTCCACGAGATGTTGAAAGGTGATGCGAGGAATCTGACACTGCACTGTTGCCCTTCTGTTGTCTTGTACCAGTCTTGCCACTCTCCGTTCTGCCCTAACATTGACTAGTCGCTGACGGCCACAATTTGCACGTTCAGACCCAGATTGTCGGCTGACAGTCCAGTCTTTAAACACTTTAACAACAGCTGCTCTTGAACATTTAACGAATTCTGCTGTTTTACTGATACTTGCTCCATGGCTCAGAGCGCCAACAATCATCCCACGTTCAAAGGCTGTTAAATCGCGTTGTTTACCTATATCTTCAGAAAAAATCACTTCTACTGTCGTGGTAAACAACCTGCTTCCCTATTTATAATGGTCTGACCCTCTAGCAACTTCAGCACAAAATTATAGCTAATTATAGCTTATTTGCCTACAAACGTCAGGTGGTCATAATAATCTGGCCACTCAGTGTATATTTACCAATGTAATCCATCTCTACTATGGGTAACGTATGATATGTTTGCAAAAATGGTTCTGTAGTTTGATTTTCACAAAAACATCATAAAACATGCTTTCGTTCACACCACCATTCAAGTTCCAGCTAGAAGTATGAACAATTTGTCATGCAGTAAAATAATGGTTCTGCTTTTTACTATATAATGTTTTATAGTTGACAGCCTGGAAATCGAGGTTACTTTATGCTGTTCCATTACTTATTGTTGCTCTTCTTCTAAATTGTAGTTGCTGTATTTAATTTAGCTATTTGATGTACCCTGTCATTTGCAACACTCCACTGAAACTGCCCTTCTAAAACTTACTAACGATCTACTAACGGCTAAAACCAATGGCCACTACTCTGTACTCATAGTTTTAGACCTTTCCGCTGCCTTTGACACAGTTGACCACCCGCTTCTCCTTAATAAACTCCATTCCGTTGGCCTCCAAGACTCTGCTTTCTCATGGTTCATCTCCTACCTATCTCAGCGCACCTTCAGTGTCGCCTACAATTCTACCACCTCCTCTCCTCTTCCCTTGTGGGTCGCACAAGGGTCTGTCCTTGGGCCCCTTTTATTCTCTATTTACACTTCTTCCCTGGGTCAATTGATAGCCTCCCATGGCTTCCAATACCATCTTTATGCCGATGACACCCAAATCTATCTCTCCACTCCTCAACTCACCCCCTCTGTCTCTTCACGTATCTCAAATCTACTCACTGACATCTCAGCATGGATGTCACACCACTACCTCAAACTCAATCTTTCAAAAACAGAGCTTATAATATTTCCTCCTCTCCGTGTTCCTTCCCCATCACAATCAACAACACTACGATCCACCCCTCCCATCAAGCCAGGGTACTCTGTGTAATCCTTGACTCAACCTCTGTAACATTTCCAAAATACGCCCCTTTTTAACAAATGAAGCCACAAAGTTTCTAATTCACTCCCTTGTAATCTCTCGTCTCGACTACTGTAACTCCCTCCTTGTTGGCCTACCACTAAGCAGGCTATCCCCCCTTCAGTCTATCATGAATGCTGCTGCCAGACTCATCCACCTTACCAACCGTTCAGTGTCTGCCGCCCCTCTCTGCCAATCCCTCCACTTGCACCCATTTGTCCAACGAATAACATTCAAAATACTAACAACATACAAAGCCATACACAACTCCGCCCCAATCTACATCACTGACCTCATTTCAAAATATCACCCAAACCGTCCTCTCCGCTCTTCTCAAGACCTCCTGCTCTCTAATTACCTCCTCCCACGCTCGCCTCCAGGACTTCCCCAGAGTAACCCCATCCTATGGAACACCCTAGCCCATTCTGTCCACCTATCTCCCACGCTGCCCACCTTTGGGCGATCCTTAAAAACTCATCTCTTCAGGGAAGCCTATCTCATCTCAACATAACTGCCTTTTACTTCCTCCAATAACTCAAGCCAAACAATTATTACCTTTTGTATCACTTGCCCCTCCTACTAGATTGTAAGCTCTCTCGAGCAGGGCCCTCCCAACCCTATTGTTCTGAAACTGTATTGTACTGTAAATTGTATTGTAACTGTACTGTCTCCACTATTTTGTAAAGCGCTGAGCAAATTGTTGGCGCTATATAAATCCTGTATAATAATAATACGAACAAGTTGTTCTTTGTATCTTACCTGTTGTACTAGACGGATATTCCTGATTTTTTTTCTTTATCTAAATTCAGTGAAGGACAAAGCAGAAATCCTCTTACAAGTTGATGAATTGCTGACCATTAAACATGAATTAACTTTACAGGTGAGTCTAGCAAAATTACATTATGGGTTACTCTGTGAAAACCCCGTGGTCAAATCTGCGGCGGACTTTCTACTTCTCTTCTGCTGAATCAGTACACCAAGTTATAAAATATGTAAGGTTAAGATGAAACTGGGGAAAGATAATTTGAGGTAGATTTCTTACAGTTTTATTAGTGGTTCACTAATTGAGTATACTTTTTGAATGGATTCGCTGTCCACGTCAGAGTGGTGCCTGGTGGCAAAAATTCACCTGCTAGCTCCTTATATCTCATTCTAGCAGCACGATCTGCTGAACATTTTTCCTGGCTCACTTCCCTACATTGGGGTCTCTTACTTCTTGCTACATCAGTAGTGTTCCCACTTCTGTTGCACTCATTAATATCAACTAAAAGAAATCCAACATGGAATGGGGGAACGCCTCAAACTCTGCTGATTTAAAAGAGAACTATGGGGTAAGTGTTTTTCCCCATAGTTCTCTTAAGGGCCATGGGAGGACATATACTAGTGTCCTCCCGTGACCCAAAGCTCAGTATAATGTAGAAATGTCACCAGCACACCAGAATCCTTTTAAGATAGCAGAATGTTCATTTATTTGAAGTTCCTTGTCATATAAACAAGCGCTTTAGGGGCCGCGCACGGTCCTTTCATCAGGCTTGGCATTGACAAGGAACTACAAATAAATCAACATTCTGCTATCTTAAAAGGATTCTGGTGTGCTGGTGACATTTTTAAATTTTGCTGATATTTGCGGCGCCATCCACAGTCACTGCGAGCACCCACCCCATTACAAGGGACTTTCGGTAAGGAGTGCAGCAAGGGAAAGAAAAGTATCTATTGGCCAAAGCTCAGTACCGGTATATTGCGAGCTACAGCTCCTGGTATACGGAGACCGCCGCAGCTGGGACCGATCCCGACAATGTTGAATGACAGCTGGCTCTATCTAGAAGCAAAGCCAGCTGTACCCGTCCGTTCCGCCAGTCAGCGCTGGAGGATCGGAGCGGGGGGAATCTGCAGAGAGATGATCGAGAAGTGAGCAAGCAACGGTATGTGTTCGCTCACTTCCCAATCTATTAAACCGTCGTGTGACAGTTTCATTGTCACACGTCGGCTTGAACTACGAGTGATTTTCACTCGCCTCACAGTTCCCCTTTAAATCAAAGTAGTAGTATCGGGTTTGCATGGTCTGACCTGTTAAGAGCAATAAAAACACTTGTTTTAGTTACACTATGAGAGATATCGACCAACCAAAAAGGACAGTTTTGGATAAAACAGGAATATAAATGTGACAATGTATCTAGTGTAATACCCTTTTAAATATGCTAAAATAATAGGACAGGTGGCAGGCACATAATAGCATTTGAATATATCTTGCTCTCCACTGAATATGCTTCACTGATGTGTGCATCTTTTAGAATGTATTCTGCTGCAGAGCACATATTCCTGAGTTTTCATTACACAGGTTTCATGTTTAATTACATCACAAAACTTTCCAGCAGAGACCATTTATTGTTCTGTCAGTGCTAATTTCTTAGAGGTTTTGTTTCTGTATTTCTGTTGTTTTCCTTGTGTCAGTGTATATTTTTCAAATTCTAGGTCACCACTCTGCATGCTGCTTTAGAGCAAGAACGATCGAAAGTAAAGATTTTACAAGCAGAGCTAGTGAAATACCAGGTATGTATGCAACAATGCTTCATTAATACATTATTTAAGAAATGGTAGAATAGAGTGCTTAAATGACAACTATCATTTAAAAAGCCATAAAATGTTACTATATTGAAAGGTAATTTTAGCTAAAATAAATAATATAATACTACTTTAGTGCAACGTTCTTAGAATTGCTCAAGCTTGTGAGCAATTTTAGTTTTTGGTGGATCCCAATTGCTGTGTAACCAGCAGCAGGATCCAATTTGCTGTCTTCTTTTTTTAAAGTGACCTGTTTTTGGCCCGTGTAGGGAAAAGGAAAAAGGTCACTAAACCCCCCCACCTTCCCCACACCATATACTCACTTTTCCGTTAATCTCCTGCTACTCCAATCAGCGGGCAAGCACTTCCAGTTATACATGAGCATGCGCATCCCTCATCCTCTCTCAACAATGAAAGCTGGTGCCTCTAAATTGGCCTAGTGCTAGAAGGAAGGAGTCCATACCCTCATGTAAGTTCTGATAAACCTGCTCAGAGAAGAGGGCATTCTTTTTTCACTCCTGACGGCAGAATGACGTGGTACAGGAGCATGGAAAGGTATGTGTTGCTGGGGGGTGGAGTTAAGTGACCTTTTTACTTTGGCCCACATAGGCAAAGGAAAGGGTCACTTTCAGGCTGAACCAGATAGGCTAACCAGCTAAACTGAATAGTCACTTCTATGTATGGAGACTTTATACAACCTCCTCTAGAGAAAAAGAAGGACCCTGCTCGTCACGTAAACGGCCAAAGACGCCAGAAATTTAGATATACATGTTAGCATTTTTTAAATATTTACTGCTGGCGAAGGAGGCTGCGCGATTTGGAGCTGGGTTTTGACAGGAAAATAAAAAAATGAATGTGGCCTGGCTTAAAATGTTTCTAGGATAATAACAGTGTTGATGTACTGGCACTGTGTGGTGACTGCAAGTAACTATTGGCTTTCAGATCTATTCCTGTGGAATCCCTTGGATCCAGGGCCCATGCTGTCTATGGAGCTTGAATGTCTGCAAAAATAGAGATTAAGCTCTCCCTCCGCTTGAAGCCCCACCCCTGTCGATCAGCTGTCAAATGCCAGAGCCTCTACTGCCCATGAAGATATGGCATTTGACAGTTGATTGATAGGATGGGTCTTATTGTCAACTGCCTGAGCCTAGAATCCAAGAACCTTCTATCCTTACTTATTCGCTAAACATAACTCATCTCTGTTCTTGATTTACAAAGCTATCATGTAAAATATCAGGAGTCTGAATGGTTAAATAACGGCTCAGCATTTTTTCCCCAACAGGGTGGCAAGAAAGGTAAAAGAAATTCTGAACCTGACCATGGACGATAATGAATCATTTCCTTATCACTGGAGGAGAAAGAGCATTTTGTAAAAAGCACTAACGTTTCTGCAGAGTTGAAATACTGCTGTTCCAATGCCATACATTAGTTTTTCATGAATAAATACAACTTATTCTTCCATAAAAATACTTGATTTTTTTTTTAGCATACACTAATTTGAACTACGTGTCCTACATTCTTAGACTGTGGTATGAGTTACACAGAGGCTGCACAGCTCTATGCCAAGGGTTCAGTAACTTGCCGACCTTTAGAAAATTCAGTGAATATCAAGAGAGGAAGCGGACCAGAAGCTGATAATCAACCAGCTGATTGTTTTTGGTGGGGTTGAAGCAGTGGGAGAGGTAGGCAGATTGGATGCTTTTGATGACAGAGGTAGGCAGATAGCAACAGAGCATGGTTAGGAAAGCAGATTAGTCTGATTGTTTTTGGTGGGGTTGAAGCAGTGGGAGAGGAAAGCAGATTGGATGCTTTTGATGACAGAGGTAGGCAGATAGCAACAGAGCATGGTTAGGAAGGCAGATTAGTCTCCTATCTATATAAAGGTGGAGTTGGAGCTGGTCATAGCAAGGGGGTAAGAGTCTCGGTTTCATGTTTTTGACAAATAAATTAGACAGCCATGTTGTGCACAGTCGTACAGAGCAAAGCACGCCACAAAGTGTAGGGCTGAATGCAGAAGACATTATTACAGAGAGAGATTGGGGTGGAGAGTGCAATTAACAGGCACATATATGACATGGACCATACTGAGGACAGTGAGGGGAGAGCTATCAAGGAACACACAGTAGACAGTGGGGGAGAGCTTATACAAATGGGGTTATCCATGATGAGCGTATATAAACGAAGGGATCTCGAGGAAGGAGGACGCTGAGTTCTATAACACTGAAGCGTGATTTGGCTGTTGATATATGGCCGACGTGTGGGGTGAGTGTATATCCATTGGAGAGCGAATCTTTGACACAAGGAGATCACGGAGTGAAGCACTGGATTATTAAAACACATGATTTATATGTTTTTTCTCACTCTGGGATGTGGAATGGAATCTGAACTTTTCAATTTTTTGATTTTTCACTGGTTGAAACATGGACTGTTCTTATTGTTTGAATGTTTGTTTTCAATATAATTTCCAGACAACTCTCAGTAACATGCCAACCTGCACCATAGGTTTCACACACCCGCAGTTCCCTGCTGCACTGGCCTCCACTGACTCCTGGGTGGAGTTCTCCTGACTCACAGGTGGGGCCCTGAACACATCCCAGCACCCTCTTCATGAGGGATGTGCACAGGTGCTGGTCACTACTAACCCACGGACCCAGGACTGAAGATTTCGTCCCACCCAGAGCTCTAAATCTCCTGGCTCCAGGATCCCAACTAGGATCCAGAAAACAAGGAAAGGAACGAAAAGGCAGTTCTTTCCTGGTACATGTACTTTCTTCCGGGAGCCACTCAGCCCCTCTGGCTGAGAATCCTGGGTCGCTTTGAGGCCACATAACACAGTGGTATTGCCACGCAATGCCACTAATATATATATGTATATATATATATATATGTTTATAATTTATTCACACATTGAACCTCTATACAACTCCTTTGGTACACACTACTTTAATGAACAAGTATGCAGTGACAGACCCAAACCTTATCGTACAATTCCCGGTGGATTTTCAAACATGTTCCTAAGATTAAAGTCGGGCGACCGTACAGTAGAAACGGTTCGCACACACCTTGCGTTACTTATACGATCGCGGAATTTCCCTCGATTATCGTACGATTATCGCAAGCTGTGTGGGCACCTTAAGTCCTGACAAATGACATTTTTCATTTTGGACAGTGTGAGGAATGGAGCTCTGCCAGATTTCTGTTTGTCTGTGACCCATTATGATGTTCCCTTTTACTTTCTGTCTCTGTGTTTCAATCTGTGACTCATTACGATTTTCCCTTTTACTTTCTGTCTCTGTGACAACTGTACAAAAACAGGGGCGGCAATAGTCTCCAGCAGAGGAAGGCACACAATGCAATAAAACATTGTCGGAAGTTCTTACTTTATCATACTACTAAAAAGGAATTTGTCTTTGTTCCCATTGTCAAAATTTTGGGACAAGAAGTGATGGGGATCTCCCCAATAGGCACATAGCTGGAAATAAAAAGTAGACAAGGCTCTCTTTCCTGGTCTTTCTGGTTGGCTGTAGTGGGGTTTAATCTAGTTGTCTAAACTATATTTAAGGATTCGTAATGGTACAATGTAGGGATGTCCAGATATCGATACTAGTATCGGGGCCGATACCAGGCATTTTCAGAGTACTTCTGAAAATGCCTTGATTCTTAAGGCCTATACTGGCCCTTTAAAGTTTGAAACAGCAGCGGCCGTCCGAGTTCCTGCACTTGTGCAGATAGTTGTCCATGGCAGTGCCTGTACGGTTCTTTATCTCGTCCTCCTTCCCGGCACAGGCACAGCCATGGACAGCCCCGGGGACGGAACTACCGCCCCAGGGCTAGAAGCTGGGGGTTCCTGCTGCACACTGACTGGGAGGACTGGGCCGGTAGATGGATGAAAGTTGGGGTGCCCAGCAGCGTAGATAGTTGGCTAGACATCGCCAGTGAGGTGGAGTGCCCGCAGAGCCAATGCAGATGTCCACGGGTGAGATCGACACACAGCCTGGTGAGAGAATACTATTCTGCCTTAGGAACATGTGTTCTGCTTTGGGATCATACAGGTGAAACTCGAATAATTAGACTATCGTGCAAAAGTAATTGCAGTAAGTGCAGCAAAAGGGGCCCAAACCAAGTACTGAGTACATATGCATGCTTGTACTTTTCAGAGATCTGATATTGTTCTATGTACAATCCTTGTTTTATTGATTGCATGTAATAATCAAATTTTTTGAGGTTGTGGATTTGGGGTTCTTGGGGTTTTCATGAGCTGTAAGCCATAATCATCACAATTATGACAAATCACAGCTTGAACTATCTTGCTTTGCATGTAATGAGTCTATCTCATGTATTAGTTTCACCTTTCAAGTTGCATTAGTGAAATAAATGAACTTTGCACGATATTCTAATTATTCGAGTTTCACCTGTATATCCTGCTTTGGGGACATGTATTCTCTGAATACATGTCCCCAAAGCAGAGTACTTTTCTGTCTTGGGGACATGTATCCTGCTTGGGGGACATGTATTCTCAGAATACATGTCCCCCAAGCAGAATACTATTCTACCTAGGGAACATGTGTTCTGCTGTGGGGACATGTGTTCAGTCTGTACTTAGCCCTGGTGAGAAACTGCCCTAAAATCATCAGTCTGTGTTTTAGAAAAAAAATGTCACATGTCCCTTTAAGAAAAAGTATCGGTAATTGGTATCGGCAAGTACCTGAGGGGAAGTACTTGGTCTTAAAAAAAGTGGTATCGGGACATCTCTAGTACAATGTTTACCAGGCCAGTACTGTAGTTCACGATTAAGGAGGAACTTTACCATCCCATTGAAAATGGCCATCTTTTGTCCCGTAGCTTGATGTTGTTGTTATTCTATTTTAATATATTTAAAAGCCCAGTGGATCCAGTGGTGTCCTCTTCCACCGCACTGCTGTCCAGCTACAGGTGCCGTCCCGTGCCGCCATCTTACATCATGGGGAGCTAGCTGTCTCTTCCTGGTTCTTGCAGCTAGGCCCCCCAATGATGCAGCACCAGATTTCATACATGCACAAATAGATCTGGCACCGCGTCTGTTTACACATTTGTCTATGAATGGTGGAAAGTAATGCCTCCCTGATATGTGATGTGTATTATCCCAGTAGGCATTAGGGCTCATGCACACAGACATAAATACAAGCGTACAGGCATACAGCATAAATTACGCCGGGAACGTAAACGCCTCTACCAGTGTTTACATACGCATAAGTTCCCAAATGCCAAATTTTTGTATTTAGGAACTTACACCCGCAAGTTTGCAAATGCCAGTACTCTGCACACATGTGAGGTCTGGCATGGTGTCTGTTTACGTATTGTTCTTTGAATGGTAGAAAGTAATGCCTTCTGGGATACCAATGTCACATATGCCTGGCCTGGGGATATTACTTTCCAATTGAGACTGAAACATCATTCATGACAAGGCACAGCTCCCCAAAAAAAATTTAAAAGGTTGGCTTTTTTAATAGTGGATGAGGGAAGAATAGAATGCTATAATGGGTTTTTATTTTTTTGAGTGAAGGTGTACTTTAACATTGCATGTTTTTTTTCCCCCCACCAACAAAATGGCTGCCGCACGTTACCAGCGACATCGTTTCTGCAAGCAACTCCCCCTCCAGCGGGCATGACAATATTTCTGGAATGCTGCGCTCTGTTCTAGCAGTTTCTATGATACTGCAGACGTCATCATATCGCGACCGCCGCTTTTTTTTTTTTTTCCGGTCTACCCTCAGGTGAAAAAATTACCGGCTTAGGCGGACCTGTTACTAGTGACCGTGCCGCCAAAGGGCTTGTTGCTGTAGCCAAGCTCGCAAAGCAAGCACCCACCGTGAGAGGAGGCCGGGCTGTCCCAGAGTGCTGTGCGGTGACGTACTGGTGACGCCGTGCTATGAGGAAGAGCTGTTAGTGCGGCCTGAGCTGCGCCAGCACCGCCCGATAGCCGGAGAGCGCCTCTCACATGTTGTACATAGAGCCGGCTCTATAGGAGACGTCAGTCAGGACCTTGTCAGTTCACCTTCCCCGCCATCTCCCGGCCGCTCAATACTATCCTACCAGCATCTCACAGCCATGTCCGATTCCCCCGCTTCATCCTCCTCTGACTCCCCGAGGATTATTAAAGTCACTGTGAAGACCCCCAAGGAGAAAGAGGAGTTCGCGGTGCCGGAGAACAGCAGCGTCAGTGAGGTGAGAGCTACATTGTGGCTGCACGATCCAGATGTTCACCGCACATCAGGGCACAGTTCACAGTACTGGGATCCTTCTATTCACCATTACAGGCAGATGGCTGATAATAGACATCCATATCCTAAACTATATCTGAAATCCTAACTTTGTTTTTTCATTTTGGATAGAGTAGGGAATGGTTTCAATCCTTTTACCAATTGTGTGCAATTGGGGAGATTTCCCTCCATTTCCTGTTTTGTAGACCCAACAGGAAATGAAAGGCTATGTTTACTTTTCTGCCCATATTTATGGTGTAACCTGAAACATGGTCAGATCCAGCCACCACTAACTGGGGGTCCCCCCCAGTCTTGTGTACATCTTTTTTTTCTTAATTTTTGTTCTCCGCCCACACAGCCGCATCATCCATTCACAGATCCCTCGACAGGATCTGTGACTGGAGAGACTACAAGCCCCATCGGCCACTGCGACACAGGGACTTGTAGCTCTTAATTAAATACAAGTGTGATGACATCACCGCACTTGTAGTCCATTGACATTTCCTCCTGTCCATGTAAGGGCCCGTTCACGCCAGCACCCGCAATACACTGCACGGCTGCTGGTGTGTCTGAAACAGTGTTGGTGCGCTCGATCAAGACGCATCGCACTGTTGTCTTTGTTTTGTTAGAACTTTACTGGAATGTCACAAGTGATATTTCATTAAAGGAGATGCTTCATTGTATCTTCCTGTGCACTGAACTGATCTCGCCAACAATGTTTTCGACTTTCCCAGTCATTTTCTGTGAACTATAGACACCCCCTCCCCATTTAATAAAGGTGAGGAGAAAGGAATGTGTTTGTAGTCCTACTCAGGAGAGCAAGTTAGGGTGACAACGTTGCTTATCCATATATACAACATGGTGATCCGGATCACCCTATGACAGGAAATGTGTTAATGGGATCATGGGTGAAAATAAAGACAAAATACCCTGAAGTGAAGAAAACAAATGCAGCCTCCACATTGAAGGGTTGGTAAAATGCAATATATTAGCTTTTAGTTTTGGGATTAAATGAAGGCCAAATACAAATCTCTGATAAGTAAATGCACCAATTACAATCATTTCAGACTAAATAGTCAGAGTATTGCCTAAACTAGTCATGTTTTGCTGTCTGCCCAGTATTTGCCCAGTCCTAGCTAGTGTTACGTAATCCAGGAATATTGTAAGAGCTGCATGAACCAATGACCATCCAGTCCTCTTTTCACAAACGCAGCAAGAGAGTCACATGATCAATGCTAAGAAACAGGCATTCCAGTTCTGTACAATTCTGACTCATCAGTCTCAGAAAGTTGTCTGTTATGTGAATACAGGACATACTCACACTTGTCTACTTCAGTAAAGCAGGGGTTTTGAACATTGGTCAGCTGTGGCATCTCTACTTATTGGTGACAAGTATCTAGTATTGTGGAAATGTTTGTAGAGATTGTTTATTAAGGGATCTATGACCTGCTAGTAATTGTCATTTCGTTCAATGTCCTTATATTTTATACTCCAGATATAAAATGTTACATAGTATTTGAGGTTGAATAAAGACGCACGTCCATCGAGTTCAACCTATTGTGTGTATGTGTATGGTGCTACTGATGTGTGCGTGTGTATAGGTCCCTGTATGTTCTCGTTCTTAGGAGTACTTGTACCCCTGTATATTACGGTCACTGAGGAAATTGTCCAATCGCCTCTTGAATGATTCCACACTCTCAGCATGCGGCAGTGAGTTCCAGACCCTGACTGGTCTAACTGAGAAGAAACCCCTTCGCCCCTTGTGCTGACATTTTTTCTCCACTAATTTTAGGTGGAGAAATATTATGTATACATGCGTTGGTCCTGCATGTCCAAGTAGCAGAATGCATATGTCATACCTGATCGGGCCACGGGGATCCTGTAAAACCGCAGCTACTACAGCGCTTTAAAGCAGCGTTTCTCAACCTTTTTTTTTGTTTTTAGTCATCCTTTTAGGGCTTGCTCACACCATATACAGAGCTTTCCAGCGCGGTTAGCTGCTGGAGTGCACTGTACAGCATATTAAACTCCCTCCTGCGTTCTGGGGTGGGGCACGGCGGTGCATTAAAGTCCAAGGCACCACAGCCATGCCCCCCTGTCGGCAGTGTGATCGCCTGCAGCAGAACGCGGGCACAACAATGCCTGTGCTCCGATCCATTGCAATCGGAAAACAATGCATGAGCTATCTTTTCTGATCGTACTGGACTGGAATGCAGGCGTTGTTGAGCCCACGTTTGGGGGGTGGCTGCGGTGCCATTGACTTCGAAGCAGTGCCATGCCCCCTCCAGCCCCAGAATGCAGGAGTGAGTTTATTATGCTTTCCAGCAGCTAACCGTGCTGGAACGCACTGTATATGGTGTGAACAAGCCCTAAAAGTATGCAAAATTTTGAGGCACCCCGGTCTAAAATGTCATGGATTTTAAGGGGGACCCCACACAAAAACTTCCCAAAAAGTGGGTTTCCCCCCTTCACATCAAAGAGCCCCCTTCAAATCAAGGGCTCACTTCACGTTAAAAGCCCCCGTTTCACATCACATCAGGAGCCCCCCTGTCACATCAGAGTTCCCATTTTACATCAGGAACCCTCTTCACATCAGATTCATTCCCCCCTTCACATCAGTCCCACTACTACAAAATGTCACCCTGGTTAATAAAGGCTGCTTTAAAGCAATGTTCCATGTATTGTGCTGTGTGGCTTCCCCCCTGCTCCTGAAAACACAAGGGGGGTTGCTCTTTATGCACAGCGTCCATTCAGGGAATGCCTAGAATTGTTATCAGGGAATGCAAGGTGCTTCTGATTAAACGTGGGGTAATGACATCACGACCTGCACATTGTCCACGCAGAGGGGAAGCCACGAAGCTCAGTGCCATACAGGGTCTGGAGGATAGCCGCAAAGCACTGTATTAGCTCTGACTTTTTCTAGTATTCTGGTGGGCCGATCAGGTATCTTATGTGCATACTTCCGCTGGGCTAAGTAATATCTGGAGTTCAGCTTTAAGTTTAATAAGAAATCTGACAACTTCCTCCTGATTTCACTTCATCTAACAATCGGGACGTGACCGTACTCAAAATCTACCTGATCTGCTCTTCTGTTTACTTGTTGACTGCAGGTTTGGTGACAATCTCCCTATGGGCTGAATAGTTTCAAGGGTAGTTGGTAGATTTATTTGTGACCATTGCTGTGATATATGGAATTTACGTCACATTGCCCATGGAATCCCTCTCACCAGTTGTTAAAAATCTCCAGGCAGTAATAAAGGAAACAAACAGGACAGTTGTTATGAAGATTTCTGTTTTACTTTTCTACTTTAAAAAAATCTTATTAAGGGCTTGTTCACACCGAATGCGGTGCACTCCAGAGTGGTAGCTCCTGGAACGCACCGCGATCCCTCACAAAACTTCATCCTGCCTTCTGGGGTGGGAGGGGGCATGGGGGCATTGAATTCAATGGCACCACATCCACGCCCGCCCGCTGTGCGATCAGACGCGTGGCAAAGCTTGCTCTATTTTTTTGCGTTTGCAGTGGAATGGAACGCAGGCAAGGTTTTGCCACGTGTCCGATCGCACTGCGGGGGTGGCATGGAAGCGGTGCCATTGGATTCAACGCACCGCCACGCCCCCTCCCGCCCCAGAAGGCAGGGGGAAGTTTTGTGAGGGATTGCGGTGCTTTCCTTGCAGCTAACACTCTGGAACGCACCGCATTCGGTGTGAACAAGCCCTGAAGGTCGCACCAATGACTTTATAACATGGTCTCCGATGTAAAAGGAGGTTAGCTAATCTAGTGGGATAACACCTGTTTACCTCAGCTAGGTAAAGTAATTTCACTGGATCTCAGGGAATGGTTGGGCTGCATTAGTGTACGTGTGTTGATTTAAGGCAGGCTATTTATTGGAATAGGCTGCCAAATGCAGCAAAAGAAGGTAGCATTTTTGGCAGAGCAAGGCAATGTACATCCGTTTGCAAGGCACGTTGCAGTCATGCACACTTTACTGCAGTGCGAATGTATAAACAGGCACTTAAAGTGTACCTGTACCCAGATTATGCATACTAAGGGATTTACATGTCCTGAACAAGCACTTTAAAGGAGAACTATGGGGTTAAGTGTTTTCCCCATAGTTCTCCTTAGGGTAACGGGAGGACGCAAACTAGCGTCCTCCCGTCACCCTAGGCTCAGTATACCGCGAGCTGTAGCTCACGGTATACTGAGACTCCGCAGTATACCGCCAGCTGCTGCTCGCGGTATATTAAGACGCCGCAGCTGAAGCGAATCGCGACAATTATGTCTGGATCCGCCCAGCTGCGTGACTGACAGCTGGCTCTGCCTATCTAGAGGCAGAGCCAGCTGTACCCGTCCCTCCCCCGTCCGTTCCACCAGTCAGCGCTGACGGATCGGAGCGGGGAGGCGGGAATCCAGAGATGCAGAGAGCCGTGACAGGATCGAGAGGTGAGGGAACCCGGTATGTGTTCACTCACCTCCCGATCTACTGAGCCGACCTGTGACAGTCTCATTGTCACAGGTCGGCTAGAACTATGAGATGAGAGAAAAGCATTCACCTCATAGTTCTCCTTTAAAACAAACGTATTCGCCTCTCTATGTAGGAGCATTGGGGAGAAATGTATTTTAAAAAATCACTGAAATCTTCTCTGGTTTTCTATTAGAACATAATCTTGGCAGCCTGTCAACCCTCTAATGTAAACACACAACATGTGTTTCTAAGCTGTTAGAAACTACCCCATGGGTACTCTGGAGTCCTTGTTGTGATCTTTGAGAAAAACTAACCTCACATTAACGGCAGCTAGAGAGGGAGGCAAAGAGCCTGTATGCCAGCCAGAAGAGCCTGTGTATATCTTTCCACTTGTTCTCCTCCCTCAAGTAAATGCTGCATACCTGGCTGTCATGCTGATCCTTGGACCAAAATATTGATCCCATGACCTATAAAACAAGAATGCAGCTCTGGAGTTCTTACTAGTTTTTACTAGGCTAGTGGATCAGTGTGCCAGCCAAGCAACTAGCATTTACAGAAGGAGTTTAGCAGTTAAAGCCACGGTATTCCTCTTATGTCAGGTTTCTTTTCACATCCTCTCTGAGGGAACTGGTGTGTTCTGACTCACAAGCTGTATGCTAGATCTGTATTAATTATCAGTCCTTAGCTCTGTCAATATTCTGTGCTATGCCTCCCCTCCCCATGCTGGGGCATATCACGGCACTGACTGCCAAGACCAGAGGTGGGTAACTCCAACCCTCCAGCTATGCTTTAACTGCAAATCCCCACACGCCTCTGGGAGTCATGCCTGTAAATGTCAGTCTTGCAATTCCTTATGGGAGTTGTAGTTCCACAACAGCTCGAGGGCCGGAGTTGCCCAACCCTGGTCTAGACCTATGCCGTTTCCGAAAAACTCAACTGTGACTGTTTATGTATCCCAGTCTGGAAGAATGGCACTAGACATTGGCTTCTCGTACCTTTTCAGAGGGGACTTCCAGTGGTTAGATGTCTTTGCTAGCTAGAGTTCCTTGCTCTGCCCCTATCCAGCCATGAAGTCACATCCTCTTTTGGTAGTATGAGCACTCGCAATCCTGCTGCATTCTCCAAACCTGTCTCCTGTAGAGTAAAATAACTATGCAATTTCTGGTACCCAAAGGTGTGTGTACATAACTTTGTGTTGGCTAAACTTGGCCTCCATGGCCTATGCAAAGCTCTAATCAGTATAGAGCTGAGCACTGGAGCTTGAGCTGACATTCTGCAGCTCATCCAAGGGATTCATCACATCACAGTCATACATGACTGCCATTTAAAATAACATGTTAGTGTATGCTATTCATAGTGAACAATGCACAGTACCACGGGTGGCCCTACAACATAGCCAAAACAAAACTTGCAGAAATCTTTTAACACTGCGAAGATACACATCTTCAAAATAGATCTCTAGCACTTCTTTAGAAGAGGATGTTTAGCAAGATCACTGTCTTCCAAATGCATTTTGAGAGATTAACAATCATCAAACTCCCTCTCCATAATCTGTCTATCCAGAAAGAATCTTGCATAAAATATTTGCTAATCAGGGAACAGTACAGACATGCGCCCATAATATACAGTCATGGTGCCCATAAAATTCACTTTCTGCTGCCTTCCTGATAATGACAACACGCTTAATCCTTAGTGATGGATTACATTCCAGTAGTGGGAATGTAAAAGAAAACAACTGGACCAGGGGGAGCCAGGGGATACAGAGTTTTATGAAGGATTTACAGCAAACGATCTAAGGCTGTATTCATTCCGTACACTATTCTGCATCACTTGTTGCAACGTTAGGTGCAATGCTGTGCCATTTTCTTAATGTCAGGTGCCAATGCACCTAGCCATTGCATGTGCACTGTATTACACCCTGTTACAATGCGATGTGGTGCAACGTAATATAACCACTTTCCGTCCGGCCATTGTAACAACCATATGGTGGCTTCTTGAATGCGGGTGGGTGTTTAGAAACGTTCATTGCCTGCTTTCGCTCATATGCACCGCTCCATGTGCGCACGAGCAGGAAACCGACTGTAATTTAAAGAGCTGGTGGTGGCTGTTTACGAACAAGCGGTCGGGCGGCTATAGAGCTGCCCGATTGCTTTTATGTTGTGTGCATGTGTGCGCATCCCCTCCGCCTTTTCCGGGCTCTGCTGTAGAGGCCTGGATGGGAAGGGGGTGTAATACCTGGTCTTCTAGTAGTTAAAACATTAGGAGGTGCACACACTGCTGTTGTACACAGCCCATTCAAATGAATGCGCTTCCTAACACAGCACAAGGTAACCCTGAAGCACCTCTGTAATGTCACGTCACAGAGGTGTACACGACAGCTAAGGAAGAGGAAGGCTGGAAGGATGAACGCAGGGATATCACTCAAACTCTGGAAAGCAGTGACTTGCCTTGGCTGCTTATACCCAAGAAATTCTGAAGATCCATGTTTCTTATTGTTTTATTAATGTAAGATTTCTTTCTACAATCTGATGCATTTTTGACTGCCCCCCGGACTGTGCATCTTTGCATTTTGGGCGGGTGGTTGCTTGAGAGTTACTATCAATTTATATGCAAATAAAAATAACTCCAGTCATAGCTCCATGATTTGCCTAGATTTAGCTATGTTGTTCACAAGACCAAATGGTAAAAACAATGCGTGTCTGTAGATATGGCAGGTGGATATTCAGTATGCCGTCCAGTGAAATGTGAGTTTAGAGGCATTATATGAACCGTATCGGTTATGTACCGGTTATACCAGTCTTATTCTACATTTGAAGTGTATCTCTTCCTGTCTTTTTTTAGTTTAGTTTTGGATAGAATGGGGAAAGGTTATAGTGATATCCGGGGTTTTTTTTGTTGACAAACCTTTACCACACAGGAAGTGAGGGAAAATCTGCCATAGGGAACAAATAAAAGCTGACAGAGGGTCTTTCTGTAAAGGAGAACTATGGGGTTAAGGCTTTTCCCCATAGTTCTCCTTAGGATAACGGGAGGACACGAACTAGCGTCCTCCCGTCACCCTAGGCTCAGTATACCGCGAGCTGCTGCTCGTGGTATACTGAGACGCCGCAGCTGAAGCGGATCCCGACAATTATGCCGGGATCCGCCCAGCTGCGTGACTGACAGCTGGCTCTGCCTATCTAGATGCAGAATCAGCTGTACCCTCCCCCGTCCGTTCTGCCAGTCAGCGCTGGCGGATCGGAGCGGGGGGAATCCAGCCCCTCCCCTGTCACGGCAAAGAGCTGTGACAGGATCGAGAGGTGAGCGAACGCTGGTATGTGTAAAAGTTTGGATTTTCCACTACAGTCTGTCCAGGAAAACAAAAAGAAAGGCAGAATCTCTAGTGGGCGCCTTTAAAAATAACTACCGTACATAAAAAAAAAAAAATTATAAATACTCCACTCCTGCTTGAAGTCGGCAGGATTGTACCTCAGTAATAATGTTATTACGTTACATTGGACCTTGACAACACAGTAGATCAATGTATATGTTTGTTTAGCTATTTTAGTTACGGCATTGTTCTGTTTGCTTTTCAGTTTAAGGAGGACATATCAAAGCGATTCAAATCCAGCACGGACCAGCTTGTGTTGATATTTGCTGGAAAGATCTTAAAGGACCAAGACACACTCAGTCAGCATGGTATCCATGACGGACTCACTGTTCATCTTGTCGTTAAAACGCAGAACAGGTACATTGTTATACCACCTTTGTTACCTTTTCCCATTTCTGCAAAGTTTAGTTCCACCGATATAAACGTTACTTCTGCGCAACTGCTGTATATTTCTGTTCTTTATACAGGTCACAAGCTGCTCCTGCTGCTGCTGCCACCACCACTACTCAGCCCAATAGCCCCAGCAGTCCAGCATCCACTTCTACAACTTCCAACAGCACATCTACCAGCTCATCCACCACAAATACTCCATTTGGTTTAGGTAAGTTGTCAGTGCATCTGCAAGACTTGTCCTGAGAGAAATGCATGGGCCATCATTGCTGACCTCTCCTGGAAATGCAAATGCCTGGCTGTCAAGAGAAACTTGGACTTTTAGACCTCATTCACACGAGAATCGGCCGGCGCATACAGCTCTGTGCTGCGTGCACGGCCGTATTGGGCAGCTCCTGGGAAGGAGAGTTGCTGCATGTGATTAGTACGCAGCCCCTGTCACTCACGAGACGGGCTGCTCTGCACGTCCGTGCGGGTGTCCCGGCTCAGACGCTGACAGGATGCATCCTGTCAGAGTATGGACACCTGCATGGACGTGCAGGGCGGGTGAGCGTAGAGCGGCGTACAGCCGCGTTGTCCCATAGAGAAGGACAGGGGCTGCGTACTAATCACACGCAGCACCTGTTCTTCCCGGGAGCTGCCCGATATGGCCGTGCACGCAGCATGGAGCTGTACATGCCGGCTTTTTCTCCTGTGAATGAGGCCTTAGTGTTTATAACTGCTGTCTTTTTCTTCAGTTTCATTTGCTGCATTTTTGTTCCAAGGCTGTGATTTAGTATTATTAAAGCAAAGCCCAGCCATAAATTTGTATGCATGTAGTTTTTCAAATGGCAGCCACTTTTTATTTTAATTCACCTATTTGCTTATTTAAGGCTTTTAGGCCTGGTTCGCGCTGAGCGTTTTGTAGCGCTTTTTCTGTCCTATAAAATGCACAAAAAATATGCCCCCCAAAAAACCCCATTCATTTCTATGGCCCTGTTCTGAGTGTTTTGTTGCAATAAGCAAAACGCCTGTTGCTGCAAACAGTACATGAGCTTTTTTTCTTTTGGCACATGTCCTCAATGTTTTATCCCTGTAAACAATCTGCATGTACAGCAAAATACCTGTTACTGTGCCAGAAATGCACTCTGGTCTTGATTTTCATTGTGGACTGACGACATAAATCTTATTTTTGACTGAAATGGATGGCGTCCACTCTATGCAACATTGTAATTGTTCTGTAGTCCAAGATCTGGACCCCTTGAGATAAGGAGCAAATTAGACTAGTTAATTGATAGTTTGCACGCACTTTAAACTTAACCCCCACGTGACCACAGCACTTTTCAGATATTGGAGGTGTGGCAGTTTCCTTGGGCTTAAAGGAGAACTATGGGGTCGGTGTTTTTCCCCATAGTTCTCCTTAGGGTAACGGGAGGACACAAACTAGCGTCCTCCCGTTACCCTAAGCTCAGTATACCGCGAGCTACTGCTCGCGGTATACTGAGACGCCGGAGCGGATCCCGACTTAGACGACGGGATCCGCTCAGCTGCGTGAGTGACAGCTGGCTCTGCCTATCTAGAGAAGAAAAAACATGACGGCTACTAACGCTTCCCCCATTATATCCAAAAATATATAGAGGAAAGTTTTGGATATAGGTATGCTTTAAATGCGGTGACTCCATTGGTTTTCTTTTATTTGCACTGAGTGACCCTCCCAGTAACAGACTTCCTGTCCTAGGAGACAACTCTCACAAACTGTGCTGCTCCTCCATTGATCCAGTATTGTCACCCAAGGACAGGAAGTGTATTTGGCTTACAGAGCACCTTCTCCTCACCTTTATATCTAGAACATGGGTTGAGGTGTTCTGTATTCTACAAACATAGCTGAGAAAAGTACTAACTGATAACAGTCGGCACAGGCAGGAGAGTACAGGAAATTATTGTCTCACAAGATATCTGGCACGATCAACAGGTATTGTTTGGTTTTTTTTTTGTTTGGACTTCCCAAACAGATCTAATGAAACCCTTTTCAATTGTATATTTAACAGACCAAATGGGACCGAATAAAAGATGTTCATTATTGGGGATTATATACAAGTTTAAGTGTTGTATCTTCTGTTTTATACTGAAATGGTTAATGAACTCTTGCTTTATTTTCCCAGGGGGCCTTGGTGGTCTGGCTGGGCTCAGCGGTTTGGGCATGAATTCATCAAACTTCTCTGAGCTACAGAGCCAGATGCAGAGACAACTTATGTCCAATCCAGAGATGATGGTTCAGATCATGGAAAACCCATTTGTACAGAGCATGCTGTCTAACCCTGACTTGATGCGTCAACTAATTATGGCCAATCCACAAATGCAGCAATTAATCCAGAGAAATCCTGAGATCAGTCACATGCTTAATAATCCTGACATAATGCGACAAGTATGTTCTTTTTTGTTTTCTGTTATGCAGGACAAAGCTGTCCTTTCATGAGATATTTCCATGTTTTTACTGCAGAAATATTAGTGTTGGTTGAAAACTGCATGAAAAGAGTGTCAGATTCCACTTGTCGTTGTAAGGGAACACACCTAATCTTACATCTAAGCAGCATGTTAAATATCACACCTGTTTTATTCATTTAGAGAAGCTCATTGTTCTGATATAAAATGTTGTTTTTATTACTCCTTGTCCTGTTGGAGAGTTCTCATCACACTTTCCATCACTGTTACTGGAAGGGGGAGAGTGAATTGGAGTAACCCAAACCTGACCAATGTTTAACCCATCCTCACTCTATCCACAAAAAGCTTTTGAAGGAGATCCACCATACAAAGAACAGTGGTGTTCAGCAACCCCTTGTCTTCAGGTGTCTTTATAGCTGTGATATTTGCAACACTAGACATTATTATTTTATTAACTGCTGCCTTCTCCATTGTCATTTGTGAGTAATTGGAGGAATGCATGAAGTTCTTTATTTTCCCCAAAACATTTTTTCAATCCTATTATCTTACACAATGTCTGACAGGGTCCCTGTAGAGAATTGTTTGCGTTGTCCTGCAGCCACCCATCAAGTTGAAAGGGCCAGTCTGCCCAAAAGTAATATTTAATCAGGTTGATCTTGGTGAGCCCCGAGTTTCAGATATGTCTATCACAGCAAATTCTTCTTCCTGCTAGAGTTCCCGAGTCTCATCCTAATAATTAGTAACATTAGAAAACGTGTCTGTTTGCCCAGCATATTTGTACCCTATATAAACGGGGTGTAAGAGCTTAGCGTGCCCATTTTGTACCTAATGTATATCTTGGATAAGTCAACAGGAATGTAAACTAGTAAGAAAGGTCTGTGACATAGGCATACTGTTGATCTAAAGCCTCCTGCCTTTTTTGCAGTTATAAGGTATGTTTTAGGAGCGTTCTGCCAGATCTAATGCGAGTCTGGGCAGTTTTAAGCAGATGTTTGTTATGTACAGTATAATGATCAGCCACAACTTTATAACCACCCACCTAATATTGAGTAGCTCCTTCTTTTGCCGCCAAAAGAGCCTCGACTCGTCAAGGCATGGACTCCGATAGACCTCTGAACGTATGCTGTGGTATCTGACACCGAGCCATCAGTAGTAGATCTTTAAGTCCTGTAAGTTGCAAGGTGTAACCTCCATGGATCGGACTTGTTTTTCCAGCACATCCCACAGAGACCCGATTGGATTGAGATCTGGAGAATTTGGAGGCCAAGTCAAAACCTCAAACTCCTTTTTTGCGTTACTCAAACCATTCTTGAACCATTTTTTGAAATGTGGCAAGACACGTTATCGTGTTGAAAGTGGCCACTGCTATCAGGATATACAGTTTTCTTGAAGGGGTGTACTTGGTCAACAACAATGTTTAGGTAGGTAGTAGATGTCAGAGTAACATCCACATGAATGGCAGGACCCAAGGTTTCTCAGCAGAACCCTGCCCAAAGCATTGCACTGGAATTCACTTCACCTTTCAGTGGTCATACTGTTATGGTTGATTAGTGTATGTATATGTTCTGCCCTTCTGTGAGCTTAAATAAGATTATTTAAACCCCACTATGTCTTTCATAGACGTTAGAACTGGCTCGGAATCCAGCAATGATGCAAGAGATGATGAGGAATCAAGACCGAGCCTTGAGCAATCTGGAAAGTATCCCTGGAGGCTACAATGCTCTGCGCAGAATGTACACAGACATTCAAGAGCCGATGCTAAATGCTGCTCAAGAACAGGTATTTCCTTTTAAAATCCGGAGCTGAAGTCCGAACCCATAAAATATATAAGTTGTCCAAGATTTGCACCTTATTGTTGGATGATAAGTGATATCTCTTCTTTTAGTTTGGTGGCAACCCATTTGCTTCACTAATGAGCAACGTGGCAAATTTTGGAAATCCCCCATCAAGGACAGAAAACCGGGATCCTTTACCCAACCCCTGGGCTCCTCAGTCAGATTCATCTTCATCAGGAGGTGGAGGCAGCCAAACAGGCACCAACAGTGGGGGCAGCACCAGCTCAACGCCAGGCCCCACTTTACCTAACCTCTCTTCAGGTCTGGGAGGTATGTTCAGTAATGTTAAATCATTTGAAATGAGTGCTTTATTATGTAGTTGCCAAGTTGGAAAATGTTTTGAACAACTTTGGAAAATAATGTACAGCCTTCCTATGTCTACACACCTGAGACGTAAAAAGCAGCCATGGGGTTTGTACAAATTGTAAAAGTCCAGTTCTGGCTAATTCGTAAATGTAATTTAGGAGGTCATGTGATTGTTGTGCATTTCCACTTTTGCAGTCAAATTTGAGAAAAACCCACTAATATGTGTTCCCATTCACACAGCATACTGAAAAAAACAATATTTTTAAATGTTTCTTACCTTCTGGATGTGTTTTGTTGCAGCAGACTAAAAAAATGCCGTCTGGACACGGCAACCCGCTGATGCGAGTCTGCCGTCCGTCCGTTTTTTCTTAACGGGCGGACGGCAAGAGGTTAATCCAAGTATTTCTGAGTACCTTCACCGTGACTTGTCCTTGTAGAAAGACTGAGGACAGGAATGTGTGGAGTGTGGTTGTCTCGTTAAAATACAATGCTTTACCCCTTTTGTTGGGACAGACTGTAGAAAATATTATGAAGTGAGCCAGTACAGACAGGGTTAAAAAAGAGCTCTTTATTAACCCTTGCAGTGGGCTAACCCCGTACTGCAAGGGTTAACTGCTTGTTTTGGTCTCGGAAGGAAAAATACATTTTCTACTCGCCCGATCCTCCAAGCTGGCTTGTTCTTAGACTGGTCCTTCCAGCCTGGCTCCCGTTGCATCACGTTCTATACACCATGGCTGTGAGGAGGGCGAGGCATACCATCGCTATAGCAGAGGAGGAGACGGGCAGGAGGGAGCATTGTCACAGTCAGCCAGCTCAGAGGATTGGGTGAGTATTTCTGAATTTCTAGTCCTCATCAGTGTTTGGTATGGAACATGATTCTATGAAGTGGAGATTTTACTAAGGGCCCAGCTAAGATCACTGACAGCTCATGATTGGTTAGCCCAAAAGTAAAGGCCCTTTCTTTAAAGCACTGCAAAATATAGTATGCTTTTCTTATAATTGAAAGTAGTTGCACCATCATTTCCAGAAAGCACATATTCATACTTTAATATTTTTGAATAATATAATAATAATAATAATAAACTTGTGAAATCTTTATGTAAATAATTAATATTTAAGATCTAAAAGATGGCCGTGTGTAATCCCTTTTTGTTTCCTACAGCTGGGATGTTCAATACACCTGGTATGCAGAGCATGATGCAGCAAATAACTGAAAATCCCCAGTTAATGCAAAATATGTTATCTGCTCCTTACATGAGAAACATGATGCAGTCTCTCAGCCAGAATCCGGAACTTGCAGCCCAGGTGAGGTAGTCATTTGGTATTTTGTGTCTAATTAGATGTTTGAAGAGCTTGTCTTATCTGAACGGTGCTTACACTGGTATATTATCTAGATTTTAGGCCACACTCGCATATGTGCATTGCAGCAACACGGACATTACCACAACTCATGTTAGTGCATGGGTATTTGTGCATTGCTCATATATAGAGGCGCACCGGATTGAAAATTTTTAAACCGAAATGAAAAAAAAAAAGGCTGACCGAAACCGAAAATGTTGTATTTCTATCTTTTTTTTCCAATTTTTTTTCAATATTATATTTTCATTTTTTACAAACTTTTTTTAATTAAATATTTGTATTTTTTACTTTACTTTTAGGGGCTTCGGGGAAATATTAGGGGTCCAAACAGACCACTGATGTTTCCTTTTAAAATAGAAAAAGAGATTTAGAACACAGAGCCCTCCATCTCTTATTCAGCAGACCCAGTTGTTAATGAACAGGAATCCTCTATACTGAGTGGTCCTGTTCATTCATACCATGAGGACAGAGTGTGTATACTATAACCACAACAAAGAATGAACAGGAAGTGATGTAGATCACTTCCCATTCATTCATAATTGAGGATATAGTCAACATACTATGTCCTCAATTATTTACAAACACTCAGCAATCACTGAGTGTTTGTACCTGCTCTCCATCCTGGATTGGCCGTGCAGGGAGGAGATCTCATCTGACAGCTGACTCCTACCCCAAACTGCCGGCTGACCTCCTGTGGCAGCTTTGAGAGCTGTCAGCTGTCCCACACCGCCACTTTTCCTGATCTGTGACAGGCGGCTGAGCGGTGCAGGGAGGAGAGACACCGGCTGCTCACAGCACTCTCCTCCCACATCGCTCTGCCTCCTGTGACAGTTTCTCTCCTCCCCGCTGGGACACAGAGCAGCGCCGAGCGGGGAAGAGAGAAAGCGGATGCACCGCTATTTTGGCCAAAAAATTGCACTTTCGGCATTTTGCCAAAAGTGCCATTTTTGGCTGGTATGTTTCGGCTGCCGAAATATCGGTGCATTCCTACTTATATACAGTGCACAGATGTGAACAGTGCATTGTGGGGTGCTGCTCCGGTGCATTAGCAGCCTGTTCAAAATGAACGGCCTACAGGAACATTACCACGCCACACACAATTTGCATGGGCCCTTAGAAATGCGCCCCAGGTTTAAGTTTAAGCAGTTGAAAAACCTTTGAAAGTTGGGTAGAATTAGTCTTTTATTGCTGCTTGTGTTCCCACTGGGGAGATTTTTCCTGTCTTGGAGACTAACAAGAGTAACAGGGACAGAGGGTGAGTGGAAGCCTCCCTTATGAGGTCACAAGAGTATTAAAAACCATCAAGGTTTTACCCGTCCCTGCTACCGGGGAAAAATAAAAATAGGCTGGAGGTAGGCTGTAGAGGTAGTTGGTATTCTGTAGTTCAAAAAATGTGCGGCTCATGGACCATGACCTCAATTAATAATTGTTTTCTTGGTTAATAATTGACATTCACTGTGCTGGGAACTTCAGCTGGACAGATCAATACAGATTTCATCATTTGAGCAGAATGATTTAGCTACCACTGCTTACTTTTAAGAACCTAGAAATTGCATTTCTTTCTCATTCATTGAGGAAAACGGGAAGTTTTAAAGCCTGTTCCCAGGAGAGAAAAAAAAAGGTTCCCTTGCCGTGCGGGAGTGGTTAAGCGCTCGTTTTTTGTCTAGGATTATTATGCATTACATCTGTGCTTGCTCTGTTTTTGAGTGAGTAGGCTGGGAAGGCTGAGCATCAGGGGCTTTCTTATTTTTATTGGTACGTGGGCACTATTATTCCTTTTTTGCTGCTGGTTTTACCACAGAAGGAGTTAACACTGTGGGACTGATCACTAACATATCTGCTGACTGGGGTGTCATGCACACATGCTCCACACTCTTCCATGCAGTGTTAAGGAAGCAGCTCCACGCTGCTGCTCCAGCTTGCAAAGAGCCACATGGAACTTTAATCCATTCCTGCTGCCTGCCTACTTTGACTTCGGTCACCTCCAGGCTTCTGACCCTACAGTTGCTGATCTTCACCTGCTACCAGCTCACATTCTACGAACGGGTCAGGGGTTAAAGCGTGACAACTGATGGTGCCCGCGTCTGCAACTTGTAGTCATGCTATCTTCTGCTACTTGAGTCCCTTCCCTCTTTGGATTCCCATTTGGCTGGGTCCTCTGCCCTTTCATCTGAGTTTTCCACTGCCATACAGGACATTATAACCCACATTTCCCAGCTGTTTGCTTAGTCTGATCTCACTATGCCCTCTCCATCAAATTCTGTATCTGTTTTACTTGTTCCCTTAGTGACGTCTGAGCTCTTAATGATTCTGAGTCACTCAAATCCTTGACTGAGGAGTCGCAGACCACTGCTACTACTCTCAAATTAAAGAAGTGTTTTTGAGCTTGTATGCACCGCACAGCACTCAAACTAGAGGATCAGCCTGTTGCTTCAGGGAAATATCAGGGGTCTAAACTAGAGCTGCAGCTAACGATTATTTTCAAAATCGATTAGTTAGCCGATTATTAAGTTCGACTAATCGGTTAATCTGATAAAAAATAAAATCAATTTTAAAAAATGGCTCCACTGATGGGACTACTAGTTTGTATTGAGATTGCAGTGCATCACAGGAGCAAGCTTGGAGCGGTGGAAGTAAAAAAGTGTAAAATTATACAGCAATGAATGCAGAATACCACCAGAATACAACAAATTCCAACAATAGTACATTATAGCTGGTGGTATTCTGCATTGCGCTGTATAATGTACTATTGCTGGGTGTTGTAGTCCTCTATAGCTAGTGGTATTTGGCATTGCACCACTGTATAATGTATTATTGCTGGGATCTGTTGTACTCCTCTACAGCTGGTGGTATTCTGCGTTGCGCTGTATAATGTATTATTAATGCAGAATACCACCAGCTATATAGGGATACAACAAATCCCAGCAATACGTTATACATACAGTGTACAATGTATTTCTGGGATTTGTATTCCTCTATAGCTGATGGTACATTGCTCTGTATAATATACAGCACAATGTACCATCAGCTATAGAGGAATACAAATCCCAGCAATACATTATAGAGCAGCATGTGTGGGAAAGTGCAGGCTTACCTGAGCAGTCTTCCAGCAACTTGCTTCTGAGATCGGGCTTGTCTATCGGTGGCTCTCATGCGCCCACACCTGCTCCTCCTTACTTCTTCTCCCTGCGTCCCAGTGCCGATCGTGGATTTGGGCGGGCGGTGAGCGTGAGGTGCAGGAGGAGGTGCGGCGTGTGGAGCGTGGATGCGGGTGGGCGGGTCTGGCAGTGGAGAGCGTGAGGTGGGGAGGAGGAGGTGTGGCGCGCAGCGTCTGTGGAGACGTGAACAGGGCCAACCAATCAGAAGCCGATTAATCGATGATTGAAAAAGTTGACAACTTTTTCAATAATCGATTATGTCGATTAGTTGTTGCAGCCCTAGTCTAAACAGACCCCTGACATTTCTCTTTTTGAAATAGAGGACTGTGTCCTCAATATATTTTTCTATCTCTTTCTCTTTTCTTTTTTGAGATTCTTCAATCTTTTTCTGCAGCCTTCAGCACTCAATGGAAAGCACTCCATACTGGGGCTTCCCATTCATAACTGGTGATTAGTAAAACATTTACTATCATCCAGTTATAAATGGGTAGAGGTCTCTGTAGTGAGCTGCTTCCACCCATTGAGAAACTCATGAATGAACAGGAAGTGATGTAAAGCATCACAGCTCACACAGCATGTTTGCCGGAGATAGCTTGCACAAATTCTGAGCAATTTCACTACGCATTTGCCTTTGGGCACAAACAGTGGAAAAATACATTCATATGATTTTAGCTTATTCAACTTTAATGTGTACAATTTTTAACTACCTTCCGTCCATGGCCGTTCGTGAACGGCCCGACGGAAGTCTGCTAGGAGCGGGAGGGCGTCTTAAGACGTCCTGCCCCTCCCCCTTCTCGTGTGCGGCACCGAACGCTCTAACAGCAGATCAAAGGTAGATCATTACTTGATCATCCCTTTGATCTCTCTTCCTGTCCCCGAATGCAGGAAGTGATGTATATTACATCACTTCCTGCATTCAGTGTCACTCTCCGGTGCAGAACACCGGAGAGAAGCTGATGAAGCAGATCTCTGCTTCATCAGCTTCTCGGGGGTCCGTAGGTGACATCAGAGGTCTTGGAGACCCCTGATGTCTCCATAAAGAGGACCTGTTTGGTGAATTGGCTATTACATAGGGGATTCCTTAGTCCCCTATGTTTATAGCAATAAAGTTAAGTCTAAAAAAAAAATTACAGCATTAAAAAAAAATAAAGAAGCTAAAAAAAATATTCACAAATAATAATTAAACAAAATAACACAAAAAATGTTTTAAAGTCCTCCGCCCCCCCACATAAACACGCAAACATGCGTCGGGTGCGCCTATGTACAAAAACGACGATTGCGCCCATTATGCAGCACATGTTACATATCGCCGCGAACGTCGCAGTGAGAACAATAATTCTAGGGCCATCAATCACTGATGACACTAAACTGATGAGCGGTAAATACGTTTAAAGCATCGCCTATGGCCAATTTTGGTTGCGGGAAGTTTTCTGCGATTTCGCGGGCGCGCGCAATTTTAAAGGTTGACATGTTTAGTGTCTATTTACCCGATGTGACCCCGTCTTTTATATTATACCAAAAAATTGGGGTGAAAATAAATGTTTCATAACATTTTATAGGGAAACATGTTTTTTTTTCAAAATTTAGGGTACTTTTTTTGTTATATAGTAAAAAGTAAAAACCCCAGTGGTGATTAAATACCACCAAAAGAAAGCTCTATCGGTCCCCAAAAAATGGTATAAAATTCATTTCAGTACAGCGTTGCATGACGGAATAAATGTCAGTCAAAGTACTGCAGTGCTGAAAACTGAAAAATGGCCTGCATGGGAAGGGGGTGAAACACCATGGCCTTTAAGTGGTTAATGAAAACTCAAGGTAGCAAACTTTTTCTCATCAGATGATGCAAAACAATCCCCTCTTTGCTGGAAATCCTCAACTTCAAGATCAAATGAGACAGCAGATGCCAATTTTCCTACAACAGGTATGTGAAAAGAGAATGAAGTGAAACCTCCTGTAAATATTAAGATGCATTTAGCCTCTGAACCTTTTGACCTTGGTTCACTTTACATCCATGTAACCTAAGCACTTCCTGCCATGTAGAGCTACTCAGAAACTGCAATGTCTGCATGTTTCTTCATCAGATTATTAAATAGAAAAAAAAACTTGGATGTTGAGTGCCTCACATTTAGGGCCCAGTCACGCCATCAAGTGAGCGTTCCAGTGCGTTCAGCCTCTGCAACGCAACCCGGCCGGCTCACTTTTTTTGGGGGGTGGGAGGGTATGTGGCGGTGCATTGAACTCAATGGCACAGCAGCCACGCCCCCCGCCCGCAGTGCAATCGCCAGCACCCGAACGTGTGGCACATTAGTGCCTGCGTTCCGGTCCAGTGCGATCTTCAAAAAAATGCTGCAAACACTATTTTTTGCAGATCTTAATGCACCGCCACGCCCCCTCCTGCACCATTCTAATTCTTGTATCATTTAGAAAACATACACTGTGGGTCCATTGCAGTCTACTAATAGAGCGAACAAATAAGTGCAGCCATTTCTTAAAGAACAACTTCATGTAGCTAAAGCTAAAATGTAGATCTATGGATTCTTTTTCTTGCTTGAGGAGTTGGAATTCTGTTCAGCCTAGTCATTCATTCACCTCTGCCGCACAGCCAGACAGGGGAAATCTCTTGTGTCCTTCTGGCTTCTTATGCCACCTTCCCCTTTATTGGACGGTGATACTGTTTCCCTGACCAAGGAGAAAGCAGCTGATGACAAAAGAAATTGGAAAGTAGAAATAGAAAATGTGGTGGGAGGGTGTGAATTAAAAGACTGACTGAACACAATCACAGGTCATCTGGCAGGTAAATGGTTCAAATGCCAGTGCTGTGTTTTATGCTTTAACCACTGGAGTTCCCAGGCCCTTTTCTCCGTAAAGTCCCCAAAAGTCCCAAAGTGTGGGGTTTTTTGGTTTTGTTTTTGGTGATGTCCTGGCTCCACATGTTGTACCTTAGGTTACCCTAATGTGTTTATACATTTTTTTTTTTTTCCTGGCCGCACCCTCACAGTACAGCCCCAAAGACTTCTATGGGGTCATCTAAACAAACATGGGAGGCCACGGGTGCCGGATCTTGGTAAATATGCATCTGTGGGATCTGTTAGGTCAGGGGAGGCAGACAAAAAGAATGCAAAGTGCACTTTGTCTGAAAGTACATTAAACGAATAGTGACATTATTCATTGTTATGTTGTACTTTTGTGTTTTGGACATCATACTTGCCAGTATCTCAGCGCATTCTAGTATAGAGGGAAAGGGGCTGGTGTATTTACAAATTCAAAACGTTTGTTACTTTGTTAGGTGTGCAACATAAATATTGAATACACATCCTAATCTTTTGTTCAGCAGCGATTTATATAGCTGCACATGATGTGTTTTGGTTATGATTTTAGGAAAACAGTTTTGACTCATTTGTTTCTTTTTTCCTTCTAGATGCAGAATCCAGAAACTCTGTCAGCTATGTCTAACCCCAGAGCAATGCAAGCCTTATTACAGATCCAGCAGGGATTGCAGACTTTGGCCACTGAAGCTCCCTCCCTAGTTCCAGGGTAAAGTCCCTTCTAAGAAAATGTTTTATCTGTATCTGTGGTTGTACTGCATTCTTCTACTTGCATACTAATTCTTAAACCATACACTTGCATGCTCCTATCACAACTGTGGGTTGTTTTTGCGTGAACTACTATGTACACAAGAATGCATTCTGTGGATTATGTTAATCAACTTATTTTTATAATCCTGATATAAATATAGGATGTGCAGTGTTTAGAATTTGTTGCCCAGACCAAACTATTAAATTCTTCATATAGAGGAATCAACATTTTGCCATATTTTTTTCTGTTTGCATAAACTTCTATTTTAAAAGATTGAGTGATTTGTTTTCTATTCCTGCTTCCTCTTAGCACTACTCCATTTGGAGGTTTAGGTGGTACAGCCAGCCCACCTTCCACAACTGTGCCCACCCCTGGGCCAACTGAGACTACCACTCCTTTGTCTGGAATCTCTGAGCCAGGGCACCAGCAGTTTATACAGCAGATGTTGCAAGCCTTGTCTGGTGCTAATCCACAGGTAAAGTTTGCTGTGACATCAAAACTTTGACCATTTATGCAGCAGAATATGTTTATCAGAATGTTACTTGACTCAATGGGGGGAATGTATCCAAATCTGCTGCAGCTGTGCATAGCAACCAATCGGGTCCTCTCTTCAGTTTGTTTCACATTTGAAAATTAAAGAGAGCAGCTTATTGGTTTTTTTTTCTGCTCCAGTCTTGATAAATCCCCCCCCCTAATGTCTTTTGTGTCAGGTACTGTTGAATACAAACGTAATTTTTTAGGGCTGAAGAACCAAATAAAGTGGCACCCTCAGTTGTAGTTTAAATTGATTAAAGGGAAACTATAATGGGTTACTAATGTACTCGGTTATTGTAATGTTCATCTTAGTCATTTGGCTAGACCAGGGCTGGACAAATCCCAGTCGTCACAGCAACAAAAAACTCCCAGACAACCAAGTTTATGAGTGTTTTATATGCAGTTTCATCAACTGCCACTAAATTATGCCTAGTAGACGCAGAATTTCCTCCATGACTGTAGTTCTGTCAGCTAGCACTAGATGGCGCCAAGTAGAAACATGATTTCCTAAATCCCTGATCACTCCCAAAACAATAAATCTGTGTTGCAGGTTACCACGGACCACGCTCCTAATGTACATATATCAAGCTGCAAGTAATGAAAGATAAATAGAGCTGTGTTCCCGCAAATTGTGCACATTTGTTTACAGTACCATGGTATTGCAAGTTAAAATGTATTAAATGTGTTCTCACTGCCTTAGTGGTGGCAACCCCCTTTATCGGTATTAAGCAGGGATCTCTATATATTGATTGTGTATTTGTATTAATGTTAAGTGAAAAGACATATGAGTGTTCTGCATATGGGACACAGTGGTCTCTGTGTTAACTTTCATTGCCATGGTATTTTTAGAAATTGTTTACAAATAAACAATCTATCTTGGAGACACAGCTCTTCTTTTTTCCCTCATAATTTTTTTGCGCAGTTTAATATATATACTCAGGAGTTTGGTCCGTGGTAGTCTGCAATGCGGATTTATTGTTTTGGCGTATTCACAAATTATACTGGAGACTGTGGACCAGGAAAGAGTTTTTGCAAGCCAGTATCACGCTTAATTTTTGGTGGTTGCCTCAATTAGTTGCAAGTGTTTTCTTCCCCGTTCTGTTTTTGTCACGTGTAAAGTGAGAGCGCATATGGGTCAGCACTGTAAGGCAGGGCACACACTACAGTTTTTCATGAGATGTTTTATATATATACACACACTTTTGTATATGAAAAAAAAAAATCATGCCGAAAACTAAAATATTTTTTTTCTAAAACCTTTTTTTTGTGTTAAAATATTTATTTTTATGAATATTTTTATTTTTTAACTTTACTGCTGGGGGCTTCTGGGAAATATCAGGGGTCTGTCTAAACAGACCCCTGATATTTCCCTTTTAAAATAGAAAAAGTTTGCGGACACAATCTCTTTTTCTGCATGAAGGCTCTATACAGTGAGGGGAATTTATCAAAACTGGAGGAGACAAAATCTGGAGCAGCTGTGCATGGCAACCAATCAGATTCTCTTTCATTTTCAAACCATAACTGAACAAACTGAAGAGAGAAGCTGATTGGTTGCCATCCACAGCTGCTCCAGTTTTGATAAATTCCCCCTGAGTGATCCTGTTCATTGATAACTTGTGGAGATAGTATGTTTACCATGTCCACAATCATGAATGAACAGGAAGTGATGTAGATAATTTCCTATTCATTCATAACTGGTACATAGTACCAGTTATTTACATTCATTCTGTGTCCACTTAGTTATAAACACTCAGCGATTGCTGAGTGCTTGTACTGCTCTCCATTCTGACTCGCTGCCACAGGAGGCTGAGCGACCTCCCCCCTCACCGCCAGCTCACGCTCCTGTACCAGCGCATCACTGTCTCCTCCTCCTGTGACACGCCGAGTGGTCACATTGCTCTCCTCCCCCGCACCGCTCGGCCTCCTCTGACAGTTTGTCTCCTCCCTTCTGGACACTGCGCTGTGTCAGAGGGAACATAGAGCACTGCACAACGGGGAGGAGAGAAACAATGGATGCAGCGCAATTTTGGTCAAAAAGTTGCACTTTCGGCATTTTGCCCAAAGTGCCATTTTCGGCCGATATGTTTCGGCGGCCGAAATTTTGGTGCATCCCTAGTTGGGACAGGTTAACCATAAACTGTAAAATGATGGCCTCTTTTTCTCTCAAAAGGGCAGAGGGACTTTTTTTTTTACAGACTTGCATTAAATTTCAAACTTGATGATCTTATCCGTGTTGTATTTTCTCTAGGGCCAGAATCCAGAAGCCAGATTCCAGCAGCAGCTGGAGCAGCTCAGTGCAATGGGTTTCCTAAACAGAGAAGCAAATGTACAAGCTTTAATAGCAACTGGAGGAGACATCAATGCAGCTATCGAACGACTACTGGGATCCCAACCTTCATAGCAATCGTTCCCAATCCAGAAAAAAAAAAGTGTAATTTATTTTTGATAATGGCTTTTAAGTCTCGATAAAACACCTGCTTTATTTCAGTTTGACTCCTGGAGTTCCTTGTCATAACAAACTAAACCTGAAGCATTTAAATCTGGATGAAGTGCAGTGGTTTATCTGAAACTGTGGGAATCAAAGCTTTTTCTTTTTTCTTTGGACTTGTTGCATGTAGTACAGACCATCTACTCCCCACACACTGCGTTGCTTGTGATTTTTTTTTTTTCCAATGAATAGCTTCTGCAGTTGGCTAACAGGTTTCAGCGAACCTTTTTATCCGTCAAAGGGTATTTGCTTAAATCAATAGCCTCTGTTAGTAATTGATGTATTCTACAGACAAACAACACCGGAAGTCAAATAGATAAGGTTATAATTAGTGATACACTATCGCTTTTTGTGACTTTAGCTTGTATTTTTGCTAGCATATTGCTGTAAGATTCATACTGCTTGATTTCCTTTAGCCTTATGTTTTTCCCTTGTGATCACCTATGTAAACAAGTATCATTTTGCGGCAGTCCATTGACGGTAGTTCTAGCTGCACACCCACAGAATAAGAAACTTGGTATTTAGGTAAATGTGGAGTAATGGCCTTTAAAAAAAAAAAAAATGAATTCTGGTCAGAAACACAATGTAGCTGCAATAGTTATTATGTTGTACCGTTTACTAGATTTTGGTTGGGTTGAACACAATTTAGGCGAGAAACTCTCAAAGCATACCTTCCTCTTCCGATTTCTTAATGTGGGTATGAAGCCAGTCGGCTTTGAATTTGTAATGCCAGTCCAGGATTTTGAAGTATCCACAGCGCAGTATGATAAACGATCCAATTTGTCTCTATTTTCAGGGTTACCTTACTGTCAGTGGAATTTTTACACTAGATTCTATCATGCCCTTGGGCTAAGCAACCAGAATGGGAACAATAGTCACTAGGGATGCTTCAAGAACCTGCATAGGCAGGAGGGAAAAAAGAAAAAAAAATACACTGTACAATAAACACTATTTACAAAGTTAATTACTGTTTCGCTGTGTTATACAATATTGGGTTAGCCTGAAATTCTGCAAAACCATTGAATTGCGATTTTAAAGCTGAACTGCAAGCAAATATTTAAAAATTATTATGGTTACATATTAAAATCCTGAAATGCATTTTTAAATGCTAATAGTTTAGTTACCTGAATCTGTCTTGAATTTCAGACTCCTGCTACGCCCTGCACATCTGAGATTGATGGCTAGCTCTCTTAACCAATCAGGCTCTTCTCCAGTGTGCATGCACTGAGGGGAGAAGAGAGCAGAATGCTGACTTAATCAGTGTGCTGAAGCTCTTTCATGTCTAAGCAGCAGACTGGTGCGGTGCTGTGGTGGAATGAAAAACCTGGCTGTGCTGTCTGGCAAGGGGTGTCAGGACCACTCGATTGGCTTCTGGCAATTACTAATTCTTTGGCAGGTAAAACAATGCCAATATATGCAGCTATGTACTGTATTTAGCTGTTTGCCTAATGTTCAGCTTTAAGGCAATGTTGCGTAAGATGTGGTCCCCTCCACCTGTGGAACTACAAGTTGAAGTTGGTAGTTCTGCAGCGGCTGGGAGTCAGACGTTTGCTGACACTTGTAGGATCTTAATCAGTAGTGATGCATATTGTTGAAACTTAATTTTAAACTGATCTTGGCATTTGCTGTACACACTGCCAGTGATCTCCATGCTTCTAAAGTGCAAGTTATAAAAGTTAGTATTTACAAAGATAGGTGGCACCAGAGCCCAGTTCTGTTCCATGTGGCTTGATTTCAAGATGTGAGAAAGTGCCGTGATCTAATCATTTTTAACCACATTGTACAAATAGGTAATCTTGCAATTTTATCAGTAGTCCTCTCTCCTGTGCACAGGTAATAAATAAATGCCAACAATTCTTCTGTTGCTTGTGTGCTCTTCACTATACGCTTGTGTTTTTGATGTGGCTTCAGTTCCTTACAATGTTGTAACCAAGAGCTTCTCATTTCACTGTTTAGCCATACTTGATTAAGCTAAATATTATTTTTAGCGTCCAGTTGAACGTAGCGTTAGAGAATCACCTGCACACCATACAGAGCTTGAACCAAATGAAATGTCCGTTGGTGCTCGAAGTGACAACACAGATGGGGCCGTGCTACAGTCCAAGTAAAGATAGAAGTCACCAGCACTCACTTGTAATGTCCAAAAAGGATAGCACTTTTATTGGTACGTCACATGCGTGAAGAAGGCTTCTTGACACATGTGACATATCAATAAAAGTGCTATCCTTTTTGGACATTACAAGTGAGTGCTGGTGACTTCTATCTTTTCTTCAGTTGAGGTGGGTGTGATTTATACTTTGGAGGTGCAGGAGCCAACCCATACTGGAGTGTTTATGTCCTAGATGACTGATGAATGCCTTTGGAATTGTTCAACTAGAGCCTCAGTCTCCAAACAGGCAAAAAGAAACATGGACTAGCCTGATAAAAGTAGATTTAAACCCAAAGTTCCTGTTCACACTTAGGCGATTTGTCACTCAAAGGTAAGCGCTACGAGCAATCCCATTCATATCTATGGCCTCTGTTCACACCTGAGCATTTTGTCGCAAGGAGAAAAACACCTGTAGCTGGAAAAGGTACATGAGCTACTGTTTGATCTCAGCACTTTCTGGTCCTATATATTTTAATGGGAAAATTTGTGTGACAAAACACTCTGATGTGAACAGGGGCAATAAAAATGAATGGGTTTCCATGTCTTGAGCGTTTTGTTGCAGTCAAGACAAGCAAATGGAATTTCTTGTTTTGTCATGCTTGGCTTTGCCATCACCCGTCTTACATACTTAGACTCCTACAAAACAAACTCATTTCTCTTATTTAGGGTCTTAAGAAACTGAGGGTTGCCCATCTTACCCGCTACAGACCTAAGCCCAAAGGAACCTTGGGGGCTCTCTCACCTCTCCTGTCACTATTATGCAGCCCAAATCTTGCAACTAACCCTATTACATTCCTCCTCCAATCCACCTCTCTATCAGAATTGAAACCTGGGCAGGAGCACCAATCTCAATCAATAACCTCTTAAGGCCCCCCAAACCCAACCCAATCCAATCTCACACATTCAAGCTATGGGACTCTATCAAGCACCAAAGCAAACTGATATCTCCTCACGCACCCCTGACTTCTAAACTGGGCAACTCCTCGTTCTATTGTCCTTTTTGAAACTCCTGCCAGCTTTCACTGGTGATGTGTGATGAAATTAACATCAAGATACAGTTCTGCTCCCATATTAAATTACGAACCTTTGAATCCCCGAAAACCTTGTATGCTATCCTCTTCAGATTCCTACAACTCAAAAATGATGCAATGTCCCTCCTGAAATTCAATTACTTCACTTGCATCTCACCATTTATTTATTATTATTACAGGTATTTATATAGCGCCGACAATTTACGCAGCACTTTACATAGTTGCACATTCACATTGGGCCTCCACAGCCAGAAGCTCTGTTAATACCTCAGCTACTGAAACCAACTACAAGGTACTGATGAGATGGTACCTAGCCCCTACATACAGCTCTGTACCAGGCTACCCCTTAACTTATATGGGCTGTTATAATCCTAGAACTCCCCTGGACATTTGTTAGGACTGCCCCATCAGTAAATAATTTTGGACCCAAACCAGCTCATAACAAAACTCTAGGGAAGCACTAAACACTACAAGACATACACAAGATCAGCAGGGTGCAGTGCCTTTTTTTTTTAGAAGATCGGTTTGAAAGGCCCTAGAAAAAAACGTTTTGATGGTTTGAAAAATATAATACAAATATCACTAAAAATATAAACATCCTACCTTTTTTTATTTTTAGCTTTAGTGAAAACATTGACATCCACTTTCATTTAGAAGTGCAGGGGTCACTAAGTGATGTAGAATGCAGGGGTCAGTAGTAAGTAACGCAGCAGAGTTCAGTAGTATAGAATGCAGGTGTCAAGAGTAAGTAGTGCAGAGGTCAAGATAGTAGATAACACAGTGTACAGGGGTCAAGCTTGAGTAATGTAATTCAAAGGTCAGTAGCATGTAATACAGAGTTCAGGGGTCAGAATAGTAAGTAATGCAGAGCTCTGAATAGTAGATAACACAGAGTAGGGTTGCACAGATACCAAGTACAGTACTCGGTACAAGTACATGTCCCGATACTTTTGAGCTCCAAGACTATACTAGAGAAAAATTCAAATGTTAGGAGGCAGCTGTCATTTGTAAGGAGCACACGGAGCTCCTGGGATTTGTATATCTCTGTTTTACTGTACGATTTAGTTTTTATAAATATAAAGTGATGCACCGATACCAGTTTTGCGAGTACGAGTACTTACAAGTACGAGTACTGATACATTTTTGTTTATTGTCATGTGACAGTTTTTCTAAAACAATACAGACTAATGATTTCAGGGCAGTGTTGGAGCGCCGGAGCCAGGTCCCAGCTGCAACCGCTGCAACCCTTGTAGTTCTCATGAAAATGCCAAGTATCGGCACTGGTACTCGAAAAGTATCTGTGCATCCCTAACACAGAGTATAGAGCTTGAGGTCCAAATAGTATATAAAGCAGAGTTTAAAGGTCAGAATAGTAAGTAACACAGTGTTCAGAGATTAATTAATATGTAGCACAGAAGTGCTGCAATTAGGCACTTAGGCATATAAGTAATACACAGTCCAGAGTAGTAAGGCATAGTTCAGAGGTCAGAATAGTAGATAACCGAGTTTAGAGGTCAGTAACAGTTTAGAGATAGAGTAGAAAATAACAGTGCAGGGGACAAAAAGTTCCATACAGTCTGTTAATAGTCAGTGTGTCGCATAATGTTATGGTGCTCCTCCCCCTTACCTCCTGTTGGTGGCTGGTGATTGTTAGGCCAGGACACGCAGGATCCCCACAGTGAGCACAGACCATCACACCAAGGTGCCATTTTCATTCATGAAACTCAAGGCAAAAAAAAAAAAGGCCAGGACGTCATCAGTGCCAAGCAAGGGGTCAGATATGCCAAAACTGAGACGAGGGTCATACACGGAAATCAGGAACTGCAGAGCACTTGGTAGATCAGAACAAACGCAAAGGCAGAGACTGAATGGACAAGGTGAAGGTTAAATAGTGACCTGGTGCTTGCATCATCACTGAGACAGGAGTTTGCCAGTAGCAGCAGGAGGATGATGTTTGTGGGTTAGGACATAAGAGGAACAGCACTGTCAGAAACACTACGAGCCATACTGCAAACAACTGGACAAGGAAGGGTAAGAAACCCTGACACCTACCTCTCAAAAACAGGGACTAATGGTAACCATATTCTTCACCTGAAACCCGCATACGTCACACATCTTTACAGCTGCCAAGCAAACGATTGCAAAGGCTTGGATACAACCATTCCATTCCCTGAAATTATCTTACATGCATAGCTGCATGTACTATGAAAAACTCGTGTCTTTACAATCGGACACAGTGAGCACAATTCACACCGTTTCTGATATGTAGGTTAGACATTGCCGACCTTCAAACTGACCATAACCTTCTGCTAGAAATGATCTACCTTTCCAGTCCTAAGGCCTTGATACCACCAGTACCTACTTATCCT